TTTGCGTGTCGCATTGTCATGGAGGCCTTCTCTTTTCCCGCTGGGGGATTCGGACATCGGGCATAACAATAATAACTAGTAATTAGAATTTCTTAATGCTGAATTTTTATTTTTATTTTTCATTAATGCTTCTATTTTTAAAATTTGACCAAGTAGCTATTTTAAGATCATGTGTTTAAGCACTCCTCCATGAATTGGAGTTTTACTCTAAGGTAGTTTCAAGAAATGTTCATTTCTTTAATTTTATTTTCATTATATAATAATAAATTCAGTCACTTTAACATGGAAAAGGGATATTAGACCCTCCTCCCTTAAAGAGCAAGCTGTGTGCATTTATATCAGAAGCTTTCCCATCATCATCTCTGGGCTTTTTCTTGAGTCAGGTTTGGATTTGGTACAGCTTGGGACAGAAGAGTGTAGAGACCAAGGCATGCGGGATCAATGGGTGGCAACAGGCAGGGATCAGCCTGCGATTCAGGGGGCAGGCAGGGGTCATCCTGTGATCTAAGGGGCAGGCAGAGTCTAATCTGGGAGTGCTTGGAGCCAACAGGGGTGACATCAAAAGTCAAAGAGAAATGAGCCAGGAGCCCAGGAAGCTGCTGGGGGAGGCAAGTAAATATGCAAAAGGTAATTTTCTTGCTTAGGATAAATATGTAGTCAATCTCTGGCCATATTTCTCAAGGTATTCTGATCACAATTTAGCAAGAAATACATCTTGTATTGAAAAGTTGTTGCTGAACAATAGGACGCCGGGATTCTTGGCCTCCAGAGGAGACGAATTCAATCCAGGGCCAGAGATGAGGCTGGATCGCTCAGAGCTTTTGTGTAATAAAGTTTGATTAAAGTATAAAGGAGATAGAGAAGCTTCTGACATAGGCATCAGAAGGGGGTAGAAAGAGTGCCCCCCTGTTAGTCTTCAGCTGGATGTTATATAGTCACTAGCAGTCTGTTAATGAAAAGAAAGGAATGTCTTAAAACTCAGAATGGCACCAGGCCCCTCATCCATAAATTGCATTTTGTGATAATCCTGGCACCAGATGATTCATCCCAGGCCATAAAATGATTAACTTGAATCTTGTAGAAGGGCAGATTACCATACAAATAGTTTTGTTTACATAGATTAGGGGAACAATATCTGAGTATAACATACTGGTTTGTCAAGTAGGTTCCGAGCCATTTGGCAGAACCCACTTGAAGACAGGGTCTGGGGTAAATGCATAGTACATTAACATAGCTTAAGGCAAACATTTCCATAAGAAAAATGTACTGATTAACTCAAGGTTTGAGAATAGTTAGCTTCAGGTGAAACCAGGTGTCATGGTAACACAGTATTTTAAGAGAAGTCTCCTTTTAAATTTGTAGAGAGAAGGAAAAAATAATATTGCCAGTTTGTTTCCTCCTGCTGCTTAAGAGAGATAAAAATGTCTGGCACTTGCAGCCTATTTTTTCCATTTGGAGACCCCTGGCCTTCCTGCCTGTTACCCTCTCAGTATCATGGTCTAAAAACACTCAAGGGTTTTAGAAAATCCTTGCCCTCACTATGGAAGAGGCACTCTGATATGTTCATTCTACAAGGTCCTATTCTGTTTCATTTAAAAGTTGCTGGTAGGAGATGTACAAATCTGATTTCATGATCTGCTAATTGATAGAAATCCATCACCTAAAATGTACTGTCTCAGAGATTGGGGAGACTGTGATGAACAGAGTACCAAAACAAAGATTAGAGACATAGTGTCTGATTTTAAGGCGATTGAAAGCCCTTTGGAAAGTTAGGATGTAACACGTGAAACAAAAAAACACATTTAGAATAGGATAAGTCAAAATATGAAAATTAATTAAAAAACGCTTACTCCTTAGAAGAAAAGTTATGACCAACCTAGACAGCATATTAAAGAGCAGAGACATTACTTTGCCAACAAAGGTCCATCTAGTGAAGGCTATAGTTTTTCCAGTGGTCATGTATGGATGTGAGACTTGGACTGTGAAGAAAGCTGAGCCCCAAAGAATTGATGCTTTCGAACTGTGGTGTTGGAGAAGACTCTTGAGAGTCCCTTGGACAGCAAGGAGATCCAACAAGTCCATCCTAAAGGAAATCAGTCCTGAATATTCATTGGAAGGACTGATGTTGAAGCTGAAACTCCAATACTTTGGCCTCCTGATGCAAAGAGCTGACTCACTTGAAAAGACCCTGATGCTGGGAAAGATTGAAGGCAGGAGGAGAAGGGGACAACAGAGGATGAGATGGCTGGATGGCATCACTGACTCAGTGGACATGAGTTTGAGTAAACTCCAGGAGTTGGCAATGGACAGGGAGGCCTGGCGTGCTGCAGTCCATGGGGTTGCAAAGAGTTGGATACTACAGAGTGACTGAAAACTGAACTGAACTGAACTGAAGCAAATTAATAGGCAAATCCCATGAATACAAGTTGGTTCTAAAGGCGTCAGTTTGAGATATGAATGGTTAAGATCAGCTATTAGAGGCTTCCTGGAAAAGGAAGTATAAAGCCTGCTTTTTGAGTGACATGGATTGATGAAGACTGTCTGGGAGCTGGACTGGGGCTTCCCTAGTAGCTTAGACAGTAAAGCATCTGCCTGCAATGTGGGAGACCCAGCTGCAGTCCCTCAGTTGGGAAGGTCCCCTGGAGTAGGAAATGGCAACCCACTCCAGTATTCTTGCCTGGAGAATTCCATGGACAGAGGAGCCTGGTGGGCTGCAGTCCATGGGGTCGTAAAGAGTCAGACAGGACTGAGTGACTAAGACACACACCGGGAGCGGGGGTAAATACCCCAGACAGAGTAACAGCAGGCTCCCACAGAGGTCCCTGCAGTGTGCTTCTTGGTCGGCGTGAGAGTGTGTGTGCTATAGAAGGATGAAGAAAATAACTCAGGGGAGGGGAGGCAGGTGGAAGCTTTCAATACTGTAGCCAGCCTCAGTGGCAGTGGGAGATAACTACCTTTGCTGATAGAAATGACATGATGTAATTGTGTTTAAGGATCATTCGTGATCCTTAAAGTCCTTAAAGTCATCAGTGACTTTGCTGAGAGGGGATCCATTGCCATCATAGTTTGCTGGAGACAAGGAAGACTGTTGTTGTAACCAAGAGAGTGTGAAAACCTTGATCTTGTCATAGAAGTCCAAATATAAGAAGGGGAGGGTCCAGGAGATGGGGACTCGTTTGGCTCTTCTAGATGAGTTTTGTGACCTGTCTTCTTGGTTTAAGACTCCAGTGCTGGATATGACTCAAGAGGTGGTTAAAGGGGCTTATCTCTTTGTTGGATCTGATCCAACGTGAGTTTTGTTATCTCTTTGTTGCTTTGGCAAGGCACTGTCTTTCCTCCAACCTGAACTGATGTTACCAGTATTGCTACTGGGTTAAGCCCCAAAGATAAAACTCATTTGAAAGTCTTTGTACCTGGTACGGTGGGACAGTAACCTCCCTCCTGTCTCTGAAAAGTAGTGTCAGTGTTTAAGGAACTCTCCCGACTCTTTTGGAAAATCATCCCTAGGGCCTCCAAGGTAATGAGGGTGACTCGATGTCAGAGCCCTGGCTCTTCCTTCTTGGGGTTCAGCTCTCCCTCGGGGATCTCCCGTTAGTGCTGGGATTGCCCTCCTCTGGTTTTCCTACTTAGGAAGACTGAGGCTGGGGTTCCTTTAAAGATCTTGATGGGTTCAGCTGCAAGAACCAACTGACCTCAAGCAGTGCTGTCCCCCAGAACCCAGGAGGGTATCAGTGGCCGCTCAGCCCTCTCTTGGCTCTCATCCCCACGCCGCCCCTGCTGGTCACTGCTTTGGTTAAAGCTGCCTGTGTATTGACCTTTCTTTGTTATAAGGTCCCTTATAAATAAGGTTAATTAGTCATCTTATTTATCTTCATAGCCTCTTACTGTTGAATACACAGTACCTTGCACTGGTATTTATAAATATATTAACAGCACAGAGTACATGATATTGTTGTTATTCTAGGTATCTCTGTAAGGCTGAAACTAAAATTTCTTGTCTTTTCTTTAGGGAAATTATCCTAAAGTAATTATTAGAAATCAGTTCACCAAATTAGGTAGTATAAACTAGTTTAGTAGACACTTAGGTGGAAATCAGTTTATCAAATTATTTAGGCTTAGATTAGCTTTGAAGCCATGGATAGTGGAGATCAAGGCAAAAATCCTTAGGAAGGTGCCAAGGAGCCTCAGAGAAAGAAACTGTATAGAAACAGAAGCGGAGAACCAAAGTCAAACTTCGTCTACTTAATATATGTACTTACCTCAAATTATTCTGCCTATACCATTGTACACTTGCTTAAATGATATCTCCTCCCTGCCCCTCTTAAATGGTGTATTTCCTCAGTAACTCCAAATAGAGCAGAGTGTTGCTTTTCAAGACTAGGCACTGTGAGAGGTCTCTCTTCCACCCTCGCCACCCCGACCCCAAATCTACAATACTGGCATAAAGAAGATGCCCAATGATTGATTGTGAGTGGAAAACACATAAAAACATGTAAAACTTCACTCAGTCTCTTTCTTGCTCATTTTATTTTTAGCCTAGCAAGCAACAGTTGCAATGAGTGTTTTGTATGACTAAATAAATTTTCTCCGTGGTCTCTGAATTCCACCCTCCCCTTTTTCTTTCAGGGCTGGAACAACCAATATCTCTGACAACTTGCACTCAACACTCCCTTGTATTCATCATATCTGTCAGTATACAATAGAAGCATTACCTTCTTCAGTTAAAGTCTGCTGGGGAGCTATAGCCAACAGTTATATCTCTCAATTGACTTACATATTTGTGATCAACTCTAAAGCTAAGGGGCTAGTTGAACCTGACTGCAGACTACATAAATATCAATTCCCTTGTGAAATTGTTAAGCTAAATAACGTTCATATGTCATTACAGAATATGATGCATTTAAGAGCACCAAGTTTCTTTCGTATTCAGTCTTTTTCAGGGTTGATGTCGGATAATTGTTCAAATGAATGCTAAGTAAATACCTGTATGTTTCTGTGTAATGAAGACCAGTTCTTCCACCCTGAAAGAGTTCCACACCATTCCTCCACCAAAAGGAGCTCTTTATGCAACTGGTAGAAGTTTAGCGAGTAAGAATATTTCTGAGTAATAGTGTTGTACAAACATTGGAGTGTATTTCTGAGTTGCAGTTCACCAACTCTGGGCCTATATGCTTATTTATTTGTATGCTTATATTTATTTTTATATTTATTAATTTTTTATGTGAATTATATATATAATTTGTGTATTTGTTTTTCTTCCATGAAATACTTTTCAATATATTGTACCATAAAAAGAAGGCAAATATAAAATGAACATTAACTTTTTCATTAAATTCTTCTATACCACCGTTTTAAGAAGCACTTAGTAGTCTACCTAATAAATGGATGATAAATGTGAATAAGTTTGAAATAAAATTTGCAAAAACACAATATCTGCTCTTCTTAAACTACCCACAGTTTCTCCCAAGACTTCATTCTCTGTAGAGAGGAAGAAAACACTCGACAAAAAGAAACAGGTAAGATAAATGGTTTAAATTTCACATTTTAAAAATTGAAATATAGTTTATTTACAGTGTTGTGTTAATTTCTGCTATATAGCAAGTGATTCAGTTATACATATATGTATACATTCTTTTTTAAATATTCTTTTCCATTATGGCTTATCAGAGAATGTTGACTATAGCTCCCTTTGCTATATAGTAGGACTTTGTTATTTATCCATTCTCTATATAATAATTTACATCTACTAATCCCAAACTCCGGGTCCATCCCTCCACCCCTCCCCTTGGCAACCACACATCTGTTCTCTATGTCTGTGAGTCCTATTTCTGTTTCATAAAAGTTCATTTGTGTCATAATTTAGATTCCACATATAAGTGATATCATATGGTATTTGTCTTTCTCTTTCTGATTTACTTCACTTAGTATGATCATTTCTAGTTCTATCTATGTCACTGCAAATGGCATTATTTCATTCTTTTTTATGGCTGAGTAGTATTCCACTGTATACATGTACCACATTTTCTTTATCCTAAATGGTTCAAATTCGTTGTCTTGTTGAAGATCTGGGTCTTAGGTTCCTTTTTCCCTAAAATACAGGAGATTGGTCCCAGTATTCTCAGGGGACACAAAAATCCAGAGAGCTCAAGTCCTGTGCTGTGCTTGGCCACTCAGTTGTGTCCAACTCTTTGTGACCCCATGAATTGTAGCCCACCAGGCTCCTCTGTCCATGGGAGTTCTCCAGGCAAGAATACTGGAGTGGGTTGCCATGCCCTCCTGCAGGGCACCTTCCCGACCCAGGAATTGAACTGGAATCTCCTGCATTGCAGGCGGATTCCTTCCCAGCTGAGCTACTGGGGAAGCTACCATAGCCTGCCAGGCTACTCTGTCCATGGAATTCTCCAGGCGAGAATACTGGAGTGGGTAGCCATTCCCTTCTCCAGGGGGATTTTTCCAACCCAGGAATTGAACCCGGGTCTCCTGCATTGCAGGTGGATTCTTTACTATCTGAGCCACCTGGGAAGCTATTCTATTTGCATATAACCTACACAGTCCACCAGTATACTTCAAATCATCTCTAGATGATATATGATACCTAGTATGATGTAAATTCTATATAAATAATTGTAAACACAATACAAATTCTATGTAAATAATTGCCTTGTGTGGAAAATTCATGTTTTGCTTCAGAACTTTCTGAATATTTTCAATGTATGGTTGGTTGAACCTGCAGATTCAGAACCCATAGATATGAAGCACTGACTGCATCAAGGATCTTTGTTCCAGGGGTGCAAAGTAAAGGCATAGGACGACCCCTCTTGCTGTGGCACTCACAGAGGGAACACCCCAAATTCCTGTGTTCATTTCTTTAAGTCTTAGATAGCACCTAGATGTCAAGCTGATAAATACTTTTTCAGGAAGTTTTTTGGATGAGCGACCCACTCTTCCTCTGTGATCTAGGGTGGTCTAGCAATCTGGTGGTGTTGTTTTGTTGCTGAGTCATGTCCAATTCTTCTGCGACCCCATGGACTGTAGCCCACCAGTCTTCTTTGGCAATGACATTTCCCAGGCAAGAATACTAGAGTGGGTTGCCATTTCCTTCTCTAGGGGATCTTTCTGATTCAGGGATCGAACCTGTGATTCCTGCATTACAGGTGAATTCTTTACCACTGAACCATCAGGGAAGCCCAATCTAGCAAGCTAAGCAAGGTAGATAGCAATCTTTTGTAGGATCTTCCTTGATTATGCTTAATCATGCTTATCCTTACTTTTAACTATAAATGCACAGTCATTTGTAAAGTAGCAACACTGCTGAAATTGGGGCACAAGCATGAGTAAGACCCAAACTTGTAAAGAAGAGACTTTTTCATCTCTGTTTGCAAAGTGAATCATTATTTGTAAATGATTCTAAAGAATCTAAATTATTTGTAAATAACTTTTGTGCTTTTTTAAAATGTAATTAATTTTCATACACACATCTATGGCATAAATGGCCTGACCTGCTTCTTACAGAATCTCATACTTCTTCAGTCTTGAGACTCTGTTTCTGGGACTTTGGGTTGCTTCCAAATTTGCAAGTCCTTAGTAATGAATTACCCAAAAGAAATGTCTGGTAACTAAAGACAGGAGTTGTATTTGATATCTACATTGATAATTAGCAGCTTGATCCCATTCCTTGTATCCCACACAAGCACATATTCTTTGGGAGGAGGATCTAACCATTGCCTCTTCCTCCATTAATGGATACCCTATCAGCTCTTTTTTTAAGGTTAGTGGTTCCCTGTTCAAAGAGGAATTTCTGTCTTCTTAGCATTAACTACTTCCTTCTTCTTTCATTGATTCATCATATATTTTTTGAGCACCTACTTTATGGTGCATCTGCTCCCTGCTTATGATACTGCATGTCTTGGGCCCCAGGCATTACCCTTCCTTTGTCAAAGTCACAGTTCTGATAATTCTTCCAGCACTGTCCTAGATATACTAGAGGCTTTCCCCAGTATTTGGACACAGTGTAAAGTAAGGTAACTCAGCTTTAATTGAATGTTCTATGTCTTATTTGATGGAACTAATGAAAATTACAAGCATTTAAAAATCTGAATTACTTTAGTAAGGACAAAGTCATTTCATAAATTAATTAATATATCATGTATTAATTGTTATTAAATCCTTGTTAATTAAATAAAATGGTAGAGTTAAATGAAAAGATGGATGATTTCCTAAAGGAAATGAAATTGTGATTTAAAAATCTTTCTTAATTGGTTTAATTGACAAGTATGCCACTCTATCATTCAGAGCTACAGGCTGATGAAAGACTCTACACAAATAGAGCATATGGGGGGCAGGAAACAGCATTATTTTCCAGAGAATAACCATATTCTATTTTACTTTACTCCAGTGGTTATTAACTTTGCCTTGGTTAAGAATCCAATAACAAAAGTCAACTAATGTTTATTGGGTATCTCATATATGCCAGGCATTTAGGGCATAACAACTGAGGATTGATTTGAACAAAAATAGATCCTTTAGAGAATTTGGTGAAAGCTAAAGGTGGAAGTGAGAAATAGCTTTAAGGAACTAGATCTGATAGACAGAGTGCCTGATGAACTATGGACAGAGGTTTGTGACATTGTACAGGAATCAGGAATCAAGACCATCCCCATGGAAAAGAAATGCAAAAAAGCAAAATGACTGTCTGAGGAGGCCTTACAAATAGCTGTGAAAAGAAGAGAAGCGAAAAGCAAAGGAGGAAAGGAAAGATCTTCCCATTTGAATGCAGAGTTCCAAAGAATAGCGAAGAGAGATAAGAAAGCATTTCTTCAGTGATCAATGCAAAGAAATAGAGGAAAACAATAGAATGGGAAAGGCTAGAGATCTCTTCAAGAAAATTAGAGATACCAAGGGAACATTTCACGCAAAGATGGGCTCAATAAAGGACAGAAATTGTATGGACCTAACAGAAGCAGAAGATATTAAGAAGAGGTGGCAAGAATACACAGAAGAACTGTACAAGAAAGATCATCACCATGACCCAGATAATCACGATGGTGTGATCACTCACACTTACCTAGAGCCAGACATCCTTGAATGTGAAGTCAAGTGGGCCTTAGGAAGCATCACTCTGAACAGCTAGTGGATGTGATGGAATTCCAGTTGAGCTATTTCAAATTCTCAAAGATGATGCTGTGAAAGTGCTGCACTCAATATCCAAGCAAATTTGGAAAATTCAGCAGTGGCCACAGGACTGGAAAAGGTCAGTTTTCATTCCAATCCCAAAGAAAGGCAATGCCAAAGAATGCTCAAACCACCACAAAATTGCACTCATCTCACACGCTAGTAAAGTAATGCTCAAAATTCTCCAAGCCAGGCTTCAGCAATACATGAACCGAGAACTTCCAGATGTTCAAGCTGGTTTTAGAAAAGGCAGAGGAACCAGAGATCACATTGCCAATATCCACTGGATCATCAAAAAAGCAAGAGAGTTCCAGAAAAACATCTGTTTCTGCTTTATTGACTATGCCAAAGCCTTCGACTGTGTGAATCACAATAAACTGTGGAAAATTCTTCAAGAGATGGGAATACCAGACCACCTGACCTGCCTCTTGAGAAACCTGTATGCAGGTCAGGAAGCAACAGTTAGAACTGGACATGGAACAACAGACTGGTTCCAAATAGGAAAAGGAGTATCTCAAGGCTGTATATTGTCACCCTGCTTATTTAACTTTTACGCAGAGTACATCATGAAAAACACTGGGCTGGATGAACAACAAGCTGGAATAAAGATTGCCAGGAGAAATATCAATAACCTCAGATATGCAGATGACACCACCCTTATGGCAGAGAGTGAAGAGGAACTAAAAAGCCTCTTGATGAAAGTGAAAGAGGAGAGTGAAAAAGTTTGCTCAAAGCTCAACATTCAGAAAACTAAGATCATGGCATCTGGTCCCATCACTTCATGGCAAATAGATGGGGAGACAGTGGAAACAGTGTCAGACTTTATTTTTGGGGGCTCCAAAATCACTGCAGATGGTGACTGCAGCCATGAAATTAAAAGATGCTTCCTCCTTGGAAGGAAAGCTATGACCAACCTAGATAGCATATTAAAAAGCTGAGGCATTACTTTGTCAACAAAGATCCATCTAGTCAACACTATGGTTTTTCCAGTGGTCATGTATGGATGTGAGTGTGGACTGTGAAGAAAGCTGAGTGCCGAAGAATTGATGCTTTTGAACTGTGGTGTTGGAGAAGACTCCTGAGAGTCCCTTGGACAGCAAGGTGATCCAACCAGTCCATCCTAAAGGAGATCAGTCCTGGGTGTTCATTGGAGGGACTGATGCTGAAGCTGAAACTCAATACTTGGGCCACCTCATGCAAAGAGGTGACTCATCAGAAAAGGTCCTGATGCTGGGAGGGATTGGGGGCAGGAGGAGAAGGGGATGACAGAGAATGAGATGGCTGGATGGCATCACTGACTCAATGGGCATGAATTTGAGTAAACTTCAGGAGTTTGTGATGGACA